CAATACATTTGTTGTACATACAATTTGTAACGCATTCTATTTGGTTTTGGCGCTATAAACTTTACGAGAAAAGAAAAAGAAAAGAGAGAAGCGAAGAGAAACCAAAAGTATTCGTATACATGATACACATTCTGCAGAACCGTCGTCGTCGTCGTCGTGAACCGATCGCCAGTCGTGAGCGCTTGAACATTTCAATGGTATGAAAGTGCATTGATTGTCATTCCGAGATATATATTTTTATTTCAAATTTGGTAAGTGTTTATTCTCGCCTAAATAATAATCCGTGTTATTGAAAAACAGTTATCGGTCGGGGTAAAATAGAAATCCCTTTTTTGTGCTTCGACCAATCAGTTTAAAATGAATTTCGAATATACCCGATTTTTCGACCAGCAAACAAATTTTCATTGTGAAACATAGAAAAGGTGAATTTTTCTTGTGTACGCAATGCGAAAACGAAAGAAAAAAACACAAATATGGAATAAGATGGAATTACGTCATTTTGAATGAGTTAGTACATAACGCAAACACACCAAATTTCCGATGCTGGTCATAAATTGAGTTTAATCAATTCACCGTGTTGTCACTTGTGTACATCTTTTTTTTTACGTTTCGACTTAAATTTCGAATGTTGGGCGATGCGAGAGATCCAGAATTTTTCCTTCGAACATAAAGCAGCGACAGACTGTGCCATTTTTATATATCATGTGCTTTTTTGATGTTCAATAGTAAAAAAAACGAAAAAAATAAAACCAACCAGATCTCGAAACCAAATTTAATTTGAACGAACATTATGTGCCCGACTTTGTAACTCCGAACAATTGGGCTAAGCTAAGATAACATTGCCATAGATCACCCGTGTGTACGAAGTGTTTAACTCTTGTTGTAAATATTTTTCGTTTTCATAAATACCATAAATTCGAATTGTACACGAGTATCGCATTTCTGAAGATATTCATTCTCCGAAGAATCATTCAAGGTATATGAACCTCAGCCTTTTTTCAAAATTAAAAATCAACCAAAATCTTGCGCGCTGATTTCGATACATTTGTTTGTAATAATTGATACACATACAATTTTAACGCTTTTTCCGAGAGAAAAAAAGTGGACACAGTTTAGAATACACTACGAACGGATGGAACAAAAGAGAAGCCATTAGTATTTATTCATATACATAACACACACACACTTCGAATCTGTCGTCGAATTGTAGCGATCATCGTCAGTTGCGTGTGCTCCCTCCGGTGGTGTAGAAGTGGATTGATTCTTATATAATTAATTTGAATTTGGTAAGTGTTTGTGCTTGGCTAAAGCATAATCTGTGTTATTGAAAAAGACTATTATTCTGGATAAAATTGAATACTAAATTTTGCGCTTTGGCAGTCGATCGAATTGAAAATGGCACGGCAAAATCATTCGATGCAAGCAGTGTCTAATTGGTGTTTATTCATTGAAGCGCCGGCTACATTTTCATTTAAATAAGAAGCAGCGAGAGACTAACCCATTTTAATATGGTTTAAATATAACAGTTTATTAATCATATCGACTAGTTTTTGATTGTGAACACATCACTTATATGTAAATACGCAAGCGGGAGACACACAAATTGAACTTCAAGTTAAATGAACGAATAAGAATATTGAACCACTTTAACCTCCAAAAATGTATATAAATCCGTGCGTCTGCAAAGTGTTTCGAATGCAACGTATTTCAAACAGTCAATCGTTTTTTTTTTCATTGCAGTAATTCCAAATTTTTGGTGTCCCTTTTTTGAGTTTTTCTTCCTTTGGCGTTGTTGTGTTTTGATCGATTGAAAAATCAAGATCACTTTCAATGTTAACAGTAGTTAATTGGTGTTAATTGACGTTAGAAAGATTATTGGCACTGCAGCTAACCCCAAATTGAAATTGTCAGTCGGCAGCTATATCGAATTCGAATTAAACACTCTCACATTGTTTTAAAGCATATTATCAACATCAACAAAACACTCCTCTGTGTGTGGAAGCGTGACACGATGATGTTTCAACTCTCAACAACGAAAACGTTTGGCCCTAAAATAGTTGTTATATGAACTGGTCGATGAATCATTTTTTATTCAAATACAAAAAAAATACAGATATGTGAGGGCTATTACGTCAGTGCAAAGCACAATAGCCGACCAACGCCGCTTATAAATTGCGCTCAATCAGAAATAATGTGCCGTGTGTCTATAGGGATGCGAGTCATTTTTTTCTCTCGGATTCAGTCTAGAGTTTTGAGCGTTCCGATACACATCGAAAATATTGTATTCTGTCTCTCAACTGAGTCGATATACATACAGTTTGCAAAAAAAGTTTTCGGCCACTTGGAAAAAATTTATATTTTTGGTTTTTTTCGTGTTAAAAATGATAAACACCGAACTATTTTCTATCTATTTGTTAAGTTTATTATCTGTTCTTATAAATTCAGGCCAATTCCGGAAATATTTAACATGATTTTTGCCTTTTCTGTAGCCATGTTTATCGAGAGGTCGAAATTGTGTGCAAAAAAAGTATTCGGCCAAACCGATACAAAAATATTTATAAAATATCAACACAGACTATGTGAAACGATGAATCACTAATGTTTTCAGTGATTCAAAGCTATTTCACGAGTTTTCAAACATCATTGTGTCAGCTGTAGGGTGAAATTTGGCCGAATGGTAGTGGCGCCGGCCAAGCAAAGATCTAGCGCCACTGGAAATGAATTTTTTGTGATGAATCTTCATTTTGAGCTATATGATCGTAAATAGGATAAATATATGACAAAAATCAATGAAAACAATTGAAATTTTCTGTAAAATTTACGAAAATTAGGCCAAAATATGGCCAACGACTAGCTTTTGGCGGCTTTTTATTCACGAATCAGTTTATGTTCAAATTGATAGTTACAGTATGAATTAGGTCTTATTCTATAATTTTAATATAGTTTAAACCATTTCTGACAAAGTTTAACATGTAGAGAGACCACTTAATAGTCCATGAAGAAAAATTGGCAACTGATGAAAAGTTTGGCTATCCCTTTATGACAATTTTTGGCGAAAATTTTTATATTTGTGCATATTATCATGCTATGAATAACTTCATTTTCAATCTTGTTTAATCATAAATTTAACGGTGTTCCACCAAGGAGTGAAAATAGTCTGAACTTCATTTGCCTTCCATTTCTAATTGTTGCAAATTTTTCTTTTCCCGAGAAGAAAAATGGACACAATTTAGAATACACATTGAACAGAACGAAAGAGAAGACAATAGTATTTATCCACACACGCATACAACACACACGTTTAACAGCCGTCTTCCGAAATATAATGATCGTCGTCAGTTGCGCATGCTACCTCCAATGGTATTGACGTGAATTGAGTGTGGTGTTATATTATTAATTTGAATTTGGTAAGAGTTTGTGCTTGGTTAAACCAAAATCTGTGTGAAAAAGACGATTATTCTGGATAAAATTGAACACTCAATTTTGCGCTTCGGTAGTCGATCGAATTGAAAATGGCACGGCAAAATCATTCGATGCAAACAGTGGCTAATTGGTTTTTATTCATTAAAGCTTACTGGATTCAAATTAAATACTGAACACAAATACATACTCCCACCTTTTTTGTTAAGAAACAGATTTAATTTTTCGGGATTCGCAGAATTTCATAACAGTCAAAAAGGCAAACTTCTGTTCCGAAACACACAATCAGTATATAAAAAGTGAACTTTCTTCCCTGTGGAAACGCGACAGCGAAAAAAATACACAATTATGGAATTTGATGAAATGACTTAGTACAAAACGCAAACCGAATGTCCGATGCCGGTGAAAAATTGAATTAAATCAGTGCGCGCAATATCTTGATTCTTGTTTTCGACATCTGTCTGTAGTGTTGTGCGTTCCAATACACACCAATTTATTGTGTTCTGTCTTTTGGCTACCTCATTTGCCACAATATTTGTGTATGTATATTTAACACGATATGCATACAATACATTGCGCATCAAAGCGCACGTTTCCTACTACAGCCGAATTTCTATCATATCCATTTCGTATCATTTCAATTACATTATGAAAGCGATTTTAAATCTGCGCCGGCTACATTTTCATTTAAATAAGAAGCAGCCAGAAACTAACCTTAGTCATATTGCTGTCGACTAGTCTTTGATTGTGAACACATCACTTATATGTAAATACGCAAGCGGGAGACACACAACAACAAGCACAAATTGAACTTCAAGTTAAAAGAACGAATAAGAATGTTAAACCGCTTTTCCTCTCCAAAAATGTATTTAAGTCCGTGTGTGTGCAAAGTGTTTCGAATGAAACGTATTACAAACAGTGAATCCTTTTTTTTCCTCTTCATTGCAGTAATTCCGAATTTTTTTGGGTGTCGCATTTTTGAATTTTTTTCCCCTTGGCGTTGTTGTGTTTTGATCAATTGAAAAATCAAGGTCATTTTCCATGTTAACAGTGTGTTAGAAAGTACACACTCTCACATTGTTCTAAAGCATATTATCAACATCAACAAAGTAAATTTTCTTCCATGTGTGCGGAAGCGCGACAACAAAACAAATACATGTATGTGGAATATGATGGAATTTTGGTGAGCGCAAAGCACAACCAAACCGATGGACCGTTGAATGCCGCTTATAAATTGCGGTCAATCAATTGGCAGCGCCGGCTGTGCCGGTGTCTGTCGGGTGCGATCATTTTTTTCCTCTCGAATTCAGTCTTGAGTTTTGTGCGTTCCGAGACACACATCGAAAATATTGTATTCTATCTCTCAACTGGGTCGATATATCTCATGATATATTTTTTTGCTACGATTTGCCGAAACAATCGTGTACTGGGAGAAAAAATTATTGCGTTGACTGCGAATCATTTTCAAACAGTTTTTTTAATTTACCTCGTTAATTGTTTCGTTCTTTTCTTGTTTCATTTGACATCGACGACAGTCAAAAACCGTGCTTCGTTTTTTTTGTGTTTCAACCAATCAACAGAAAATGGCAGGACGACCAAACCACGAAAATTCACCGTTTTCGGGCAACACACACCGATCACTGATGCTAATGAAGGATATGTGTGGAAATTACATGGTGCAGAAAATCTTCGACACCGGCACTGAATCCCAGCGACACGAGTTGCGTCAGGTTATTCAAGCGAATTTCATGATGCTTAGCATGCACAAGTATGCATGTCGTGTGGTTCAAGTGGCAATCGAAAAATCGCCAGTACATCAGCAAATTTTCATGATACAATCGGTTTTTCCAGACGATATCGTTGAATTAGCCAAAAATGTCAACGGGAATCATGTCATGCAGCAATTGTTTCGATGCGTGCCTTTGAATGTACAGGTAAAATGGCTTTTATATTTGCAACGATTTGATCGTAATGAATTGTGTGCAATCGAAAACGTTTTTCCAGGACTATCTGTTCGACAGGGTAAGGAATCAAATCATTGAATTGTGTTTGGATTCGTATGGGTGCCATGTGGTTCAATGCATTTTCGCTAACGGATCGCCGAACCATCGCAGCGGAATTTTCAATGCAATCACTGGAAATGAATACGTATTGCTTGAATTAATCCAACATCCCTACGGCAATTACGTCGTTCAACATGCAATTCGTAAGTAGAATTATTTTAGTTTATTCCAGTCATATTCACTATCAATTTCTGGCTTCTGTTGTGTTTTGCACATGCACATGCACACACTCAAAATACTCAAATATGTACAAGAGGTACTACCAACAGTTAACTTTTGTCGTAAACAATGCAAATGATGGTTTGCTTCTATTTGTATCTTTTCATCTAATTCGATTCCTTTTCCGTTGAACAAATCTGCGCGCACTTCATTCATTCATTCGTGGTTACAAACGAAAATATCCCAATAAAAATCTGACGATTTAATTCACATAATACTTCAGAAAAGCTCAGATGTTAAGATTCGCGTCGATCTTTTCATTCGTTTACACATGCTCACTCGTGTGATATATTCAGTGACTACAGAACGCATGATGTACAGCAACAAAGATCACGAAAACATGCATAAAAGAGCGAACAGGCTGTCGTCAAAACAGCGGGATTATTGCTCGTATCGAAATACGGATCGAAGATGGATGAAAAAAGAAAACAGAAAACAACAACTCTTTTGAAGAGAAGAACAATTTTGCCTTTTTTCATCTCGCGAACACGCAAGAATTAAATAGGTGTTTTTGGCGAATTTTCCTAATTGGATTTTTACTTATTTCTGCAGAGTATTGTGCGCCGGCTGATAAAGACCGATTGGCCGGGTTCATCATAGTACGAGTAGTTGAACTTGCTCGAGGTAGACACGCGTCGAATGTCGTGGAAAAATGTTTAGATGATGCGAGGCCAATGATGAAAGACTGGGCACTGTTCACCATTTGCAATCGAAGTGCAGAGTAAGTTCCATTTTGAATCGAAAAATATCCAATTTGATTAAGAACGATTCAAAGCTTGAGCATTATTCATTGCTGTCATTTCTGATGTTTTATTTTGTTTTTGTATTTGCAGAGACATTAAAGCGTTGTGCACCAACGAATACGCCAATTTCGTCATACAAAAATTGGTAATGGGTTCAGAAGACGTACACCTGGTGGCAAATCTCTACGAGCGCATTCAGCCGAACTGGAGAGAATTGAAACGTCATCGTTGCAGTCACAAAATCATCAAAATGCTAGAGCAAAAGCTCTGCCGTCCATAACAATCTAGCTCATTCAGACACTTTTACATTCTATTCTTACGTCAATTTTGTTTAAGTTGTTTAAATATAATCGATATCATGCGTATTTAAACAACACTTATAAACTCAATTAAAATATTTGATTCGAAAAAATCTGGCAATTTGTTT